GCTGAATCAAGGGAGGGTGGGAGGGAGGAGAAACTTAGCCGCTGTGAAACATTAATTGTCGGAATGAACCGAGGCGCTCGTTTCATGAATAAGTGGTTGTCTAACTGCGGACAAAAGAGAGAAGGGAATCGGGAGGGAAAGAGACGCGGAGGATCTGGAAGAATAGGCTCCAGGACATAGCCGGTGGTGAATATGTTTTATTCAAAACCGTTCTCCCTCATCCTCTTTCTGCTACTCTGCGCAAGAATTCAAGGGGGGGAAAGGAAAAAAGAAAAAAGGAAAAGGAAGAGATCGCGCCACTGCCATTTCACGCTACCTGTCGTTTAACCGTCGTTTAACAATGTATAATTTGATCGTTTATTTACCATGGAAATGTAGTATTCGTATTAAATACCATTGCTGTTTCCCTTTTAGAGGATCCTCTGAATAAGCAAGCTCGGCTGCATGCATACAAGGCACATGCATACCGGAATTATAAACGCCGAGTTTAGCCGGGTAATGCTACTTGCCGAGATAGGAACAAATTGCCAGTGTATTTATACAAATTTTATCACCTCGAAATTCGTTTGTTACTCGTTAATGTTGCACCATCCCGACCTATCGCGAAAGTTTGGCCTGGTTTCGAGCTTCGAGCAAAGATTTTCCAATTTTACGAATCCGAAAAACTATCACGAACTATCAATGTAACAATTGGATGCAATTATTCCTATATTATTAAACGCACATCGAACAAAAAAACGCACGAATTTCAACGATCACGAGTTTCCTCGATGCCACGCTCATCATTCGTGAAAATTGAAATTCCACCTTATCCATCATTCGAGTAAACAAGATCGTTAAAACGAGATCCACGACCCCTTTTTTCCCTCCCGAATAAAAAACTCGGGATATCCCATTGTTCTCGGCCACCCTTAGCCACGCTAATTCCCATTTTCCAGAAAAATAACGATCATCCCCTAACGATGAACCCCAGAATTCCCTTTTCAAAATCGTACGCGTTGCACAACACAACGTATACAATCGTAATATACTTGTGATTGATGAGCCGATCGCGTGCCCCCCTTCCCCCCCTTTTTTTTTTGCTTCAGGTTCTGACAGCAAGATGTCCGATGTTGATGGACAACCGTATACAACGTTATTGTACAGCAACGGACCCGGATACACGCAGCCAAGGAATATTTTACGAGAGGCTGGCA